GCAAGATGAGGGGCAGGAAGAGTGTACCACGATGGGGCAAGCAAGCCCTGCCCTGAGTCTTCAGTGCAGAGCGAGAAGTTAGGTGGCAGAAGTGAGGCTGGAGAGGGGAATAGACTCAAAGGGCTTTGTGAGCCAGGTCGAGGGTGTTGGAATTTTCCGTAACGGAGAGCCCGTAGTGGTGGGTTTATGTCTTAGAAATCACTCTGACTGCACTATGGAGAATGAATGGAAGAGGGGCAAGACCAGGGGCAGGAAGCCTGTGAGGGGGGCAGTTTTAGTGTCTACATGAGAGGCCAGCGTGTCCTGGATCTGAGTGGTGTCAATGACGAGAAAGAGAAGTGGGTAGAATTTAGTAATATTTAGGGCATTTAATTGAGAGGATTCCGGTGGCTGAAATGAGGGGACAGAAGAAAAAGTCAAGGATGAGGCTCAGTTGTGTTGCTTGGATAACTGGGTAGTTGGTAACCCCCAGAGCCCTGGAGGAGAAAAAGATTCTGAGATGTTGAGTGATTTGGAACATGCTGTTCAAAAGGAGTGTCAGTCCATCAGCACTTGGAGATATGGGGGTCTGGAGGGGAGGAGAGTGCCATGTCAATCACTGGCCTCAGCTTAGAGATGGCAGGCAGGGGGCTGGAGAAGGTGGTTCAGGGAGTGTGTTTCAGGAGCAAGGAGAAAACTGCCTAGAATGGAATTCGGTGGAGTGATGTTTGTATAATGATGCTGGAGGAGGAGGAGGTGGAGGAGGTTTTTAGGAGACTCAGAGGAAATAACCAGAAACGTAGGTGTTAGCTATAGCAATTCATCTGCTTATTCAGCTGCTGTAAGTCAGCATTTATTGAGGTTCCATATGTCCTGGGTGCATTCAGAGACAAGTGAGACTTAACTGTTGACATCAAACTTAAACCATGGCCATCACCCCAGTACGGTCTTCTGAAACAAGAGGCCCCTTTCTTGTAGGCCGCTGACCGTCTTATTTTCTTACTGATAGATTGTTCTTCCTTAGCACGTTTACAGGCCCTGGAGTGCCTCCCACGGTCACCCTCCTGTATTAACCAGGCCCCAAAGACCCAGGTCTAGCAGTCAAGCCTTCTGTCCATGGTGGGTGTATGGCCTGAACCGGATACTTCAAGGCTGTCAGGGGGCAGACGGCATAAGGAAGGAAAGGAGGGAACATGTCATATGCTGAGGGTTCAGCAAATTGTACCCACACACCAGGCATAGAAACACAAGAAAATCACCCCCGCTCCGTGGGTGAGACTAAGCAGCAGTCCTCTTCCCATCTGCTTTGCCTTCACAAACATGCCTTTTCTTCTTCTTCTTTTTGGTTCTCTGCAGCTTTGAATACATGAGGAAGAAGAGTGGGAGACAGGAGGAAAGGTAAGGTTGGAAGAGGACAAGAGGAAAGGAGGAGAGTGGCGGTGGGGTGGGGGGTGGGGGGTGAGCCTCCAGCGACCGCCAACACAATAAATCAGATCCTGGACTACCTCAGCCTGGCCCCTTTTTTCTACAGTGCACTCTTATCAGCTTCCTCCCAGGAAGAGTCCAATGATGACAGCCAAGGCATGGCTGTGGCTTGATGGACTTGATTGATGGGGTACTGGGAGGGTGTCAGAGGCCTGGGAGGCCCACTTCCTTCTGTTCACCCCACAGAAGCTTACACAGGCTACACAGGACAGGCGGGCACAGACTTCCCCTACCCAGCTGCCTTTGACTCGGATGGTATCATCAACCTCCCATCAGCTGGCAGAAGGCTCCTGATGCTAAGGAGTGTGGGGCAGTAGGAGTGAATGCCTCCCTGAACCCGTATGACAGCAGGGTGGGGAGTGAGGAGTCCTGAGAGCAGCAGCTTTCCCCTGTGGGAGGCACCTGTGAAGCTGTGTGTGTTGAGGGAGGGGATGTTGTACAGGAGGGTGGACAGGGACTCTCCCTGCCCTCTGTCATCTTGCAGACCTGGGCATGGGCCTGGATGTAGGAGGCCATCCAGTCTGACTTCAGGTTGCTGATGGAGAGGGATTGAGTAGTTGATCCACACTGCTCTAAACGAGGTAGGCTTGATGGGGCAAAGGATTAAGGCTCTTTTTTGTCTTGGCTTTCACAGTTCTTTACCCGTACCTGGCTATGCTCACAGTACCTGCCCTGACCCTTGGCTAGGGTTGAATGCTAGGCTATGGCCTGAGGACTCTCCGTATAGGGGATAGAAACTTAAGAGCCCTATCCATTTCTAGCATTGGCAAGCAGTGATACAGGGCCACCGTGACAGTTCCAGATGACCCTCAACTGGAATGATTTTTCCACCCTACATTTCTCGACTAGGCTGTCCTCTCCTGTGGATTGAGCTGTGTGCACTCCTGCCGGCCCAGTCAGCCATCTGCACTTTCCCAGAACCCGGTCAGCCAGTGTTTACTTCCTCTTTCCCCACCACACAGGCTGTGCTTTGGATGCAAGTGGACAGTCCTGCCCTACCAGTGGGGCCACAGGACTGGTTCTTGGACTGCAACCCTCCTGCAGGGGAGCTTGAAGCAGGCCCAAGCTGTGGCCGGCTCTGGGTGCTGGCTTGGTCTCTACCACTTGTTTGCCTTCTCTACCCTCTGCCATCCCAGCCAGCCTACCACCCCAAAAACCTGAACGACACACCATCCCTCCCATGACACCCTTCAGTTACAGAGGGAGCACGGAGCTGTGCCCAAGTGCTGAGGGCTGTCTGCCCGCCCGCAACCCCACCCGACTGGAATGAGCCACCTGCATCCACACACAGGTGTTTCCTGTGCTCCTTCCTGTTGCCGTTTCTTCTTCTTTTTTTTTTTTTCTGCTGCTCAGCGTGGCTTCCCCAGCAGGTGGTTAAGGGCCAGCCAAACCTCTTATGCACAGCTCCAAAACATGGGGGGCGGGGCTCCCTGGGGATCTGGGTCACCCCCCCTCACAAGGAGGGACTGTTGGCACCTCATTAGCTCTGCCTGAGTGCAGGTGCACACTCCCCCCACCCCCCACCCCGGTGTGTCACGGTGGACTCCAGGATTGGAGAAAGCCCTGCCGGTGCACCGTCTCCCTTGCCCCTGGATAATGAAAGCTCTGGAGTGAGAAGGGAAGGGTGGAGGGCCAGTTTCTCCAGCCTTGGGTGTGGGCCTCCCTCAGGCCCTCCTTACAACAGGCCTGCCATCCTGAAATCCCACCCCACCCTCCAGTTCCTCCCATTGAGCTTTTTGCCTTCTGGGGTTAACACACTTAACATGCGGCACCTCTGGGGAGGAGATGAACCCTCCCTGGAGCCCTGCTTCCCAAAGCAAAACAGGTCAGCTGGCTGTGGAGGACCACGGGGTTCAGTCAGGTTTGTTATGACAGAGGAGGTGGCTGGGGTAGAGGATTATTTAGGGTCACTGGGCAGCCATCCTGGTCTCCTGCCGCGCAGGCCCTAGCTCTTCCCCTCTCCAAGGATCTGCTCTCTCTTACTCCCCAGCCCTCAAGGAGCTCCTAGTGCTCAGTGCCCCCTGTAGGAAGCTGCCAGGGCTGAGGGGAAATCTAGAAGCCTGGCATTCTCCGACAGGGTTCTGCTGCCCCCTGGTGGCCAGGAGCTCCAGCCACCACCACGCCTTTTTTCTCTGCCTGCTTCTTCCCCTTTGCCTCCTGGCAGCAGGGTGCTAGCCGCTGGGGAGCCATTCCCAGGACTGGCTCTGTGGGCCTTCTCTAGGCCAACTCCGTGGTTTGGCTCCAGCCTGGGCCCCCAGCTTCCAGGCCCAGAGCCCGCCCAGCCAGCAGGCTGATCCTCAGCAGCACGCCCCCACCCATTTTCTCCGCCCTCTTCTCCAAGCCCACTTCCAGCCCCTGGGCTCTCTCCCACCCAGATTTCCAGGGCAAAAGCACATGTCATTGTCACAGTTGGAGGGTGGGCACGTCAGGAAGGCCACAGCCAAAGGGTGCTGGAACCAGAAGATCAGGAGGACACTAGGTCAGGCCATGTAGGAAAGGCATTTTGCTTTTTTATTTTCTGTAAAACTCTGTAAATAAAATACAAAACCAAGGGAGGTGATGGGGCAGAGGCAGGATGGCCAGGCCCGGGGCACTGATCTGTGGCAAGTGTGCTGAGCTGAGGCTGGGAGGCACTTGACTGCAGGCACTGACTCTACCAACCCCAAGGGCAACTGAAGAATATATTAGATTTTCTTGGATAGGAATACATGGGGGAGGGGTGTCTGGAACCAGCCCTCACCCTCCCTGCCACCTGGTGAGCCCTGAAAGTGGGGGGATGTGGCACTGAGAGCCAGTGTGTGGGGAGTTTAGAAGGCCGTGCTGGCCATGCTGCCGGGCCCGAAGATGCGGGGCAGGGCGTCCAGCGACTCTTCTAGCCGTCGGTGGGCAGACTGTCCCTCTTCCCCTGCAATGAGTAAGGATGGAATCAGGAGTAGCCCTAGCCTTGGTCCTCCCACCCTTGACCCCATCTCACCCCTACCCCCATCAGCCAAAATGTCCCAGAACTCGACTTGACCTTTATCTCCCAGCCCCCCGCCTCACCACACTGTTGCAGGCTCTGCCGAGCAGCTTCCCTCACGACTTCTGTGTCCGTCTGGCACAGGTACACCAGGGGCTCAATGCCCTCAGGAGCCTAGCAGAGGAGGAAGCACTGAGGTGGGCCCCCTGGAGCAGACGGAAAAGCCCAGGGCCAGGGATGGGGGGATCCCAAGGAGAGATAAAGGGGTTGGTTGGCAGGGATCACCTTGATGCAGCCTAAGGCCAGGCAGCCGGCCACTCTCGTCTGCACGTCCTCATCCTCGAGTTGGTTCAGGAAGCACAGTAGGGCCTGGGTAAGGGTAGGAGGGCACTTAGCCAGACACTGGGAGCCTGGGACCCCAGCCTTCGCCTTCAAGGGAGCCCTGCCCCACTCTCACCCTTTCCCGGAAGGCAGGGCCTAGTGACAGGCTCCGGAGCTGGGTGCTGACAGCAGCCATGACCTTGTTGTTGCCATGGACGAGCAGGGTGCTGAGGGCCCGGAGCCCGTCCCTTCGTAGCCGCCCCTCAGGTGCCAACCTCAGCGCCTTGAGCACAACAGCCTGATCATCTGAGTTCAGGTTCTGCACCAGTAACACTGAAAGAAGGACCTTGGAACAATGTAGCAGGGCAAGGAGCTTCCTGGGGTGGGGTCTTCTGTACATTCATGTCCTCATGCAGACCTCAAGGCCCACACATAGTGTTGGGCACTTGGTGATCAGGGCTACTGCCTCACCTTCCTCAGCGGTCTCCGTCACATAGGCCTCCATAGAGGGGCTGTCCAAGGTTTCCACGTAACTCCAGAACTGGAAGACAGTGAGCTGCTCTCCAGGGCCTGGCTGGGGCCTCCTGGGCAGCTTCTGCCCCAGCATATCCTCCAGAAACTTGACACACACTGTGGGAAGCAGTGCCAAAGACCTCAGGGCTTGGATGGACCCAAGGCCTTAAACCCTACCCATCTGGGTCCTCTTGCACCAAGGCACAAGCCTTTGCTATTTCTTCTCAATCCTCAGCTCAGCACGTCTGTGTGAGCTGACCTGGCTTTCCCTGTGGTCCCATCACTGAGGATCTGAGAAGGGAGGGCAGAGGGGGCAGGTAGGCAGCCTACTTACCAGCCTCAGCTAAGCCTGGCTGGCGCAGGGAGAGCCGAGCACCATACTGATTGCAGAAGGTGAGGAGCACCTGCTTCACAGGGCAGATGAAGGGGCTAAGTCCCTCTGTGCACTGGTCCCAGAAGGTCAGGAAGCCAGGCCGAGAGGCTGAGAACTGCACCACTGTGAGGAGGTGCAAGAGAACGTCAGCACCCGAGCGGGCAGGTGGGCAGACAAGTGTAGGTGGCGTAGAACAAGGAAGGAGCTTCAGGGCAGTCACCAAGCCAGAGCCCACAGGGCCTTTACCTTCCTGAGCAGAAGTAGCCGGGATTTCCCATCGCCTGCTAAGCTCGCATACCACCTCGAGCACTCGGGCCTCCCGCAGCAGTCGCTCCAGGGCCCATGCCTCCTGACAGCGTAGGGGCCCAAATGTGCCCAGTTTCTGGAGAATAGGGGTGGCCAAGTAGCTCAGATCTCAAGGTAGAACTTGGGGAGAGTGAAGCCCAGGGACTACAAGTCCCAGCATGCATTAGGAGAGATTAGAGGGAGCCAGAGTGTGGGAGGTGTTCAGTAAGAGCCAGATGCCAGGGACCTGGGGCATTGGGGATGGAACTCAGGGCAGGTGTGGAGAGTTCCCTGAGGTAAAAGGAGTGTAGGGGGGATGCCACCAGTCTCACCAGCAGGAGGCGGCTGCAGTAGTACAGGTGCTGGACCAAGGCAGTGTCCAGAGCTGGACACTCCGTGCTGAGGGGGCGGGCACTGGGTGAGTTGAGGCCGTCTTCAGCCTTAGGCTCCAGGCTGCTTGGG